ACACCTAAGGTGGCGGGTTCAAATCCAGCCCAGACCCGCCAAACAACGATGGCTGCAACCAAAAAATAGCCTGGCGTTGTGGCAGGCACCTGTGGTCCCAGCTACTTGGGAGGTGGAGGCAGGAGACTTGCTTGAGCCCAGGAGTTGGAGGTTGCTGTGAGCTGTGATGCTAGGGCACTCTACCCAGGGGGATAGCTTGAGGCTCTGTCTCAATAAAAAAAAAAAAAGAGTACTTCCTTACAATCTATGTACTTTTCTTTTTTTAAAATTACTCAACAACTGTGCTGAACCAGTAACTGAAAGTTGACCACAGGTTTCTTATTACTATTGGTTTCTTACTGCCAAATACTAGTCCTCCATTGGAGGTAATTATAATAACTTTGCTTTTACTTCCAAAATTTCTAGATAAAGAAATTACTCACCATTGAGCAAGGACAAGATAAAAGAATTCAGCAAATAGGGTGGCGCCTGTGGCTCCAAGGAGAAGGGCACCAGCCCCATATGCCAGAGGTGGCAGGTTCAAACCTAGCCCCAACCAAAAACTGCAAAAAAAAAAATAATAATAATAATTCAGCAAATGGATCCATGCACAACCCTTAAATGGTATTTGGTCATTTATTTATTCACTTGAGAAAGGATAACTCCTGGAATGTTTCCAAGTTAAAAAATGAGATTTTTTTTTTAATCACTAATTTCATAAATAAACTTGCAGGAAAAACTTCAAGTTAGTCTTACAGACTACATGTAAACATCAGACGGAGCATACAGACCCTTAAGAACTTTTTTAAACAAGAATATCCTTCTAAGGATATAAAAAGCATGGCAATTTCTTCATAGCCAATGATTTTCTTTTTTTTTAAGAAGATTTTTTTTAAGAAGATTTTTTTAAGAAGATTTTTTTTAAGAAGATTTTCTTTTTTTTTAAGAGTCTTACTCTGTCACCCTTGGTAGAGTGCCATGGTGTAACAGCTCACAGCAACCTCCAGCTCTTGGGCTTAGGCTATTCTCTGGCCTCAGCCTCTCAAGTAGCTGGGACTACAGGTGCTCACTACAACACCCAGCTATCGCCCTACTCACTGAGCCACAGGCGCCACTCCAATGATTTTCTTAAATCACATAACTCCATGAACTGGCAAAAACTCCTTTATTTCACAAAATGGTGGTTTTGATTTGTCACTTATTTCCTGTATTTTATCATAAAATAACTCCATTAATTTTCTCTTCAGAAAATATTTGTAGTGTCTTTATTTCCAATATGCCACAATAACTTTTAAATATTTTTAGTAAGAATTATGGTAACATTTTCATCTACTATTTAACACTATAAGGCATATTCATTTTACCATAAAAGATTTTCTATTTCCATGCATTTCTTGCTTTTTAGTAAACTTAGTTTTAATAAACTTAGTAGTTTTTAGAACTACTAATGTTCCTATCAATCTTTATATATCAATCCATTCCTTTTTGTGATGTTTCTTTGTATACATAAAACATACATAACTTAATTCAAACATGGAAGAGTTAAGAATTTTCTGTGAAAATAATCAAAAGCCAGTCAAGCTGGGACTGGAAAATTATACTGATACTTATCCAAAAAGTAAGATCTTTTAGATCCTTCCCAGCAATAAATGATACCATGACTCTATACATATATAGACCTAAAAGCACACTTATAAAAGGAAAACTTAGGGAAAAAATCAGTTAAGTACCTCCTGAAATCCTATTATGTGTGATACTAGACTTTATCATTAGAACGCATATTCTCTAAAGCGCAGTTAATGTGGAGGCGCCCATAGCTAAATGGTTACAGCACCAGCCACATGCTTCGGGGCTGGTGCGTTCGAACCCAGCCCAAGCCTACTAAAAAACAAAAAAAATAGGCGGGTGATGTGACAGGTACCTGTAGTCCCAGCTACTATGGAGGCTGAGGCAGGAGAATCACTTGAGCCCAAGAGTTTGAGGTTGCTGTGAGCTATGAAGACACAGCACTCTACCAAGGGTGACAAAGCCAAAAAAAAATAAAAAGAAAAAAAAGAAAGGTCATGTGCTCATTTAAAGAACTGATGACTTTGACTAAAGTCCAGTGCTGTCTTATGATGCACCTACCAACCTACCAAAACCATCCAAAGCCATACATACCAAACTTATTAAAAAATTAATATTTTTCAGCTGTGTCCTCTTAATTTTCAAAATATTAATTTCATGTGTATTTATAAATAATATATATTTAGTGGTAATTAACACTTAAATCAATGTATTGGTATTAAGTAATCCAGACTAATAAGCCATGAATGAGTCCAATAAATTTTGTTTTTATATCCAAAAGACTTACATACCATTAACTATCCTTCCAAGTGTTTTAGATCCAAATATCAGTGATTAGCCTTCCAAATGTTTGAAATTCCATAAAATTACACATAAACCCATAACAAATGTATTACTTTTTTTTTTTTTGAGCCTCAAGCTGTCGCCCTGGGTAGAGTGCTGTGGCATCACAGCTCACAGCAACCTCCAACTCCTGGGCTCAAGCAAGTCTCCTACCTCTGCCTCCCAAGTAGCTGGGACTACAGGCACCCGCCACAACACCTGGCTATTTCTTGGTTGTAGCCATCATTGTTGTTTGGCGGGCCCAGGCTGGATTCTAACCCGCCAGCTCAGGTGTATGTGGCTGGCACCCTAGCCACTTGAGCCACAGGCGCTGAGCCAAATGTATTACTTTAAAATGCTACAAAAAATATTTTTTAGCAATTCTGAAAATTAGTTAATTAAAACTAATAAAGTGTAACACTGACCTAACAGGAAAAGAATTTTATTTTTATAATCTTTATTAATACAGTACCATCCTCAAGGGTCCCACTTACTAGCCTTTTAAACAAATTTGTGAAAAGGCAATTTTACAGGTCATTTAAGGAGTAATACCACACACTTCCACAATTTTAGCCACTTTACAAAACAAAGGAAAACCTGCTTCAAAATTGCAGTCTATTATTAAGAGCAGATCTACATTAACTCCTTTTGCAGGTATAATCACCCAGCATGTATCAGATTGCTGTGACCATTTTGATTGTGACATGCAAAATGGATTCTGCTTTGGAAATTGGTTAACCGGCATGCAGATTTCTGCAGAGATCCATAATCCCCAAAGCAAAAAAGATAAATAAGCATTAGAGGGCTAACTCTGACAAAAGGTACTGCGGGAGGGAAATCCCTTCAAATTGGTTGATACGGGGAGAGAGGCCACAAGACCAAGACACCCAGAAACTCAGCCTGCAAACAGCAAACAGCTTCATAGGAGCTTCCAGGTATGAGGAGACAAGTTTTCAAAGCAGAAAACAAATTATTAGAGGGCTGCGCCTATGGCTCAAAAAGGTAAGGTGCCAGTCCCATATGCTGGAGGTGGCAGGTTCAAACCCAGCCCCGGCCAAAAACTTAAAAAAAAAAAAAACAAAAAACACACAAATTATTAGAGAGACTGACTCAGGCCATCAGTTACCATCAGACTCTTTATGTAGTTTCAAAATAATTCAACTTAATCTCCTTTAACCATTTAAAAAAAATTTAAGACAGCATTTCCAGGTAATAGTTCATTTCAAATCTATTTTAATAAATTATACATGCATTAATTTGTGTGTATGTTCTCTATCATTTTAAAGCTTTTTGAACATGTTTGATAATTAAAAGAGTAGCCATGCTAAAATTAATACATCTAGATAAACTGTCACTGACTTTATGTAGTACTCACCAAGAAAAGGTAGTTCACAATTTTACCTTTGAGTGAACTTGATGAAAACATCAGCATGTTTAAGAAACTTGTTCTTGTTATACTACTAAAATACCTAAATATTTTCATATATATCCACAGTTGAATTTTTTTTCCTTTACTTTATTAGCAAAGTTTGAACATTTTGACAATCACGGTTTTGGTTTGCTGGGGTGAATTATGAGACAAATTATTAAGCTTGCCAACAGAAAACAAGACTTTACCTGACCACCTTTCTATATGCTTTCAGTGAATTCCTAAGGATTTCAACAAAGCAGTATACTCAGTGCTTTGAAGAGAAAACAGTGACCAAAACCTTTTTCCCCTTTGGTAAAAACATAACATACATGAATTTTCAACTTCATAGTTACTTATTTGTTAGAGTACAAGATACATGGGGTAAGTAAAATTAATCCTCATTAGTACTGTTAAAAGCATTAACTGGAGGAAGAAATGTCTCCATTAGTTCAATCTATTAACCAAAAGCTTCACAGAAAAATAAAAAAAAAAAAGATGTTATAAAGAAAAAATAGAATGTATATTTGAATAATTTGCAATCTATGCTTAAGCCCAAGAGTTTGAGGTTTGCTGTGAGCTATGAAGTCCAGCACTCTACCAAGGGTGACAGAGTGAAACTGTCTTCAAAACAAAAAAAGAAAAGAAAAGAAAAATCACTATCTATAATTCTTAAGACTATAGTGCCCAGGGCGGCACCTGTGTCTCAGTGGATAGGGCCCCAGCCCCATATACCAAAGGTGGCAGATTTGAACCTGGCCTTGGCCAAACTGCAACAAAAAAAAACAGCTGGGTGTTGTGGCAGATACCTGTAGTTCCAGCTACTCGGGAGTCTAAGGCAAGAGAATCGCCTAAGCCCAGGAGTTAAAGATTGCTGTGAACTGTGATACTACAGCACTCTACTAAGGGTAGATAAAGTGAGACTGTCTCTTTAAAAAAAAAAAAAAAAAATACAGTGCCCTATTCAAAGATCTTTTTCCTATTATTTCTGGTGAAATCAAATTCAAAATATAATACTCAGGCTTCCTCCTTGTCAAAAGAACAAATTACACTAGTTAGGGAATTTGTTCTCTGAAATACTCTGCAAGTTCCAATCCACAAGAAGTAAATAAAATAGAATAAACAATAAAAGGCATGACAGAGGAAAACCTACAATAATTCCAATTTTTGCTGCCTTGGCAACATACTGTACACATATTACATCAATATAATAGAAATGGCACAGTCTGAGGATACGTTCCACATTTTATTTACATTTTAAGACTAACTTTAATCTCAAAATCACATCTCCATACACCTATTTCCTTTTTGTTGACTTCACTTAAACTTAAATGCATGGTTTGTTAAACAAAGACTGTAAACAAATATTTACCATGTCTGTTACATGTAACACACAGGAACAGCTTTTAACAGAAACTCATCAACCCCCCCCAACATTTTATTATAAATACAAGTATCAAAACAATCCTAAACATATTTTTCATACTACTAGTAGTCAGCACCCACACCGCTTCAAAAATTAACACAATTTGCGACAATATTCATTATACCTGCTACTTTAAACAATTTCAACTGCAGCTCTTTCACTAAGCAAGATGGATAAAGCATGCCATTTCTGCTTTTCCTTCTTGAGATTTTTACTTTTCAGAAACACACATGCTTCCACTGCCATCTGACACCCCTCTTCACACTTTCATCTCGTAAACCTGAATTCTATTTTGAGTATATTCCAGGTTTATGTTTAAATGATAGTGCCTTAACAAGAGAAAAAAATGTGCTGCACTTTTCCTCTTGTTACCTGAAAACATACTGGGTGTACATATATTAAATATATTCTTACAAATGTCCAGGTCATGTTTACCAGGTAAAATTCCTTTACTTAATGTGTGGGTATTTTGCATTGTGATATTTAATCAAGACATTAACATAAGTAAAAGGTTGTTGATTTAAGACAAGTTTGAGATCCACTAAAATTAATTGTTGTATGTTTGTCCTTCTGGTGGCTGTGGAAGCTTCATATTTTCTTTGGACATCATTAGACGTCTTAGCTCTTGAAGTACAACTTTAATGCTATATGAATTTTGCCATTTTGCTAAAACTGGTATGCTACGTGCATCCACCTGAAAGGGAAAGAAAAGAATACAATTAACTACCAAGTTTAAAGTGGTATGACACTAATTTTTTAAACATACTTTAATAAGAATGCTTTTAAAAATTCATAGCTTAAGGCCAGGTGAGGTGGCTCATACCTGTAATCCTAGCACTCCAGGAGGCCAAAGTGAGTGGATTGCTTGAGCTCAGGAGTTCCAGACCAGCCTGAGCAAGAGTGAGGCCCCCTCCCAACCCCCGTCTCTAAAAAAAGTCCCAACTACTCAGGAGATTGAGGCAAAAGAACTGCTTTGAGGTTGCTGTGAGCTGTGACACTCTACCCAGGGTGACAAAGTGAGACTCTGTCTCAAAAAAAAAAAATTCATAGCTTGGCTTTATTTTCACAAAAAGCATATGAAATTACAGGTTCTTAATTAACCTAGTATTTAGGGAAAATATTCCTTTTCTAACAGATATTTTCTTAAAATCTGAATCCTTTTGTGTGTGTGCTTATACATAGATTTTTTGTTGTTGTTGTTGCTTTTTGTTTAAAGAGACAGGTGTCTCCATATTGCCCAGGGTAGACGCAAACTCCTAGGCTCAAGCTATCCTCCTGCCTCAGCCTACCAAGCAGCTGGGACTACATGCCATGCCTACCTGCTTTTTTATATTTTACAAGCATGTAGTAAACTCTGGTGCTCGAGTTACTGCTTTGTAAATATATTTACTAATTACTTCTTCATGAGAAAAAGCCTAACACTCCTCTCCATTTTCATCATCACTACTCAAAATCTGGGCAATTACCTCACACTGAAATTTTATGCTCACCCTGACTACTCTTAAGACTGATCTCTTTTCCCATTTTTCTTTCAATGTACTCTATGCACAATCCTAAATTAATCTTTTGCTGTATAAGATGAATAGAACAGGGTTGGAGCTCCTGAAAAGCCCATTTCCAGGTCACTGTCAGCACTTAACTTTTAACGACAGAGCCTTCCTTTATTAGACCTCTGAGTCCCCATCTAGGAAATGCCTATCCTCCCCCACCTCCCACCCTGGGTGTTTGTCAGTTAATAGTTGGGGCAAACAGGAAGGTGACCAAAATACTTAAGCTGGGAAATAAGATGTCCATAGAGGAACTGAAAAGCTCCAACACAGGCCTGAGAATCGACAATCACATGTGTGGGGGTTGTGCATAGGCTCATGAAAGACCTAAGAATAAGCTCTCACCTATGGCTGACCTCAAACAACATACAGGGTTAGGTACCTATTAGGATTTATCCTAGAAATGTAAGATAGTTTCAATATATTAAAAAAAATCAATGTAATATATCATATTAGACAATAAAAAGCGCAATCATCTTAATAGATGCAAAAAAGCATTTAACAAAATAGAGAACATTTTTTTTCTTTTTTTTTTTTTTTGAGACAGAGCCTCAAGCTGTCCCCCTGGGTAGAGTGCCGTGGCATTACAGCTCACAGCAACCTCCAACTCCTGGGCTCAGGCGAGTCTCCTGCCTCCGCCTCCCAAGTAGCTGGGACCACAGGCGCCCGCCACAACGCCCAGCTATTTTTTGGTTGCAGCCGTCATTGTTGTTTGGCGGGTCCGGGCTGGGGATTCGAACCCGCCACCTTAGGTGTACGTGGCTGGCGCCTTAGCTGGTTGAGCTATAGGCACTGAGCCGAGAACATTTCTTAATATAAACACTCAAGAAAGTAGGAATAAAGCAAATATCATACTTAATGGCAAAAGACTAAGAACAGGACAAGAATGTCTGTTCTCATTACTTCTATTCAACACTGTACTGGAGGTTCTAGCCCAGACAGTTATGTAAGAAAATGAAGTAAAAGCACCCAAACTGGAAAAGAAGTAGTAAAACTACCTCTATTTGCAGATGACATGATCTTACATATAGACAATTCTAAGGAATATCCTAAAGAAATTATTAGAATAATTTAGTAAGGCTACAGGATATAGGATCCATATTTAAAAAGCAGTTGAAATACTTTACACTTGCAGCGAACAATCTGAAAATAAAAATTAAGAAGACACTTATAAAAACATCAAAAAGAATAAAATGTATTAGAATAAATTTAACAAGCCAGGTGCAATGGCTCATCCCTATAAGCCCAGCACTCTGGAAGGCTAAGGCATGCGGAGTGCTTGAGCTCTGGAGTTTGAGACTAGCTTGAGCAAGACCCTGTCTCTACTAAAAGGAGAAAAACTAGCAAATTACTGTGGTAGATGCCTGTAGTCCCAGCTACTTGGGAGGGTGAGGCAAGAAAGATCACTTGAATCCAAGAGTTTGAGGTTGCTGTGAGCTGTGATGCCACAGCACTCTACCCAGGGCAACTGAGACTCTGTCTCAAAAAAAAAAAAAAAAGAATAAATTTAACAAAAGACTTGTGCATTGAAACTGTAAAATATTGTTGACAAAAATTAAAGACCTAAATAATACAACACCAATCAGAAGACTTCAGATTGTTAAAGTGATATTTCTCAAATTAATCTACAGATGCAATACAATCCCTATCAAATTTTTAAACTGCCTTTCTCTATGTATATGTATGTATAGAAATGAACAGGGCAATCCTTGAATTCATATGGGAATGCAAGAAATCTAGACTAGTCAAAACAATATGAAAAAGAAAAACTAAGTTCTTCTGATTTCAAAACCTTCCTCCAAAGCTACAGTAATCAAGAAGGGTGGGGCTCACCTAAAGATAGACATACAGATCAATGGAATACAACCGAGAGTCCAGAAACAAATCCTTACATTCATGGTTTACTAATTTTAACAAGGGTGCCAACACAACTCAATGGGGAAAAAAAAGTCTTTTCAACACATACTGATGGGATATCTACATGCAAAAGAATAAAGCTGCCCCCTCAACTCACACCATTCACAAAAACTAGCTTAAAATAGGTCACAGACCTAAATAAAGAGCTAGATCTATAACACTGTTAGAAGAAAATCTTTGTAATGTGGGATTTCACAATGGTTTCTCAGTTGTGGTACCCAAAGCACATTTGACATTAATTTTTCTGTTTTGTAGAGATCTATTTTTTTCTTTTTTTTTTTTGGAAGACAGAATCTCATTTTGTTACCTGGTAGAGTACCCTGGAGTCATAGCTCACGGCAATCTCAGACTCTTGGGCTGAAGCGATTCTCTTGCCTCAACCTCCCAAGTATCTGGGACAACAGGCACCTGCCACAATGATGGGGGTCTCATTCTAGCTCAGGTGAACTCAGGCGATCCACCTGCCTCAGCCTCCCAGAG